GCTGATAGAACACAGAGAGGCAATGGAGGCTCGTGGTGGAGACCCAGGGGGGGAGGCTCAGGATGGAGGCCCACAATGGAGGCCCCAGGGTGTTGTGGACACTTGGGTCTGGGGTAAGGAAGCAGGTTCTGGAGGGGAGGGAGCTGGAAGTGCATGACTCAGGAGGTGGCCTGGACTTCTTTCGAGGAGTCTGGGAACTGCAGCCTGAGGCCCACAGGAGGCATGGAGAGGCTGGGGCTGAGGGCGAGGATGTGAGGGGAGGTGAGTCTGGTGACCGGCCCCACCCTCCAGGGACACACGTGGCAGGCAGAAGTCGCCAGGGCCTGGTATTGTCTCTGTACCTGAGCAGGGGAGGGGACAGTTACAAAATCACTTTGTGAATCAAAGGAGGCTTTTGTGCTCTTAGCCTCATAAACAATCATCTACCCCTACCAGCCTTTCTGGCGCATGACCTTTGCAATGTGCACATCTCAAGTTCAGTTTGGATAGACAACGCTCTCTGGTTTACACTTCTGAATGACCTTGGAGCTTCCGTCATTTCTTTGCCTCCACATTCTCCTCAGTGATGTGCATTTGAGAATGCACACAGAGGAGTTCAGAACCAGATAACCACTGTGTGTGTGAGGCGGGGGGGAGGGGAAGGGGGAGGATGGGGGGGTCTGTGTGTGTGCTGGTAAGGAAGTTGAACTCAGGGCCTCATGTTCTGTTCTTACTTGGCTTTTTCACTCAAGGTTGGCGCCTTGCCCCTTGAGCCATTCCTCCGCTTCTGGCTTTTTACTGGTTAATTGGAGATAAGAACCTGGTGGATGTATCCGTCCTGCCTGGTTTCAAACCAGGATCCTCAGATCTCAGCCTCCTGAGTAGCTAGGATTACAGGCGTAAGCCAATGGTGCCCAGCTTCCTTTCTTTCTTCCTTCCTTTCTCCCTCCTTCCCTCTCTCTCTTTCTCTCTCTCCCTCCTTTTCTTTCTTTCTTTTCCTTCCTTCCTTTCTTTCTTTCTTTCTGCCAATACTAGTACTTGAATTCAAGACCTAAGCACTGTCTCTTAGCTTTTTGCTTAAGACTGGCCTTCTCTCACTCAACCACAACTCCAGTTCTGGCTTTTTACTGGTTAATTCGAAATAAAAGTCTCAAGGATTTGGGTGGTTAATTGGAGTTAAGAATCTCATGGACTTTCCTGCCCAGGCTGGCTTCCAATCACCATCCTCAGATCTCAGTCTCCTGAGTAGCTAGGATTGCAGGCACAAGCCATTGGTGCCCTGCATACATCTATTTCTAGGTACAATATTTTCTATCTGTATTCCTCAAGTAAGCAGAATTAGGAAATGAAGATGCTTCCGGCTTGGATGTGCTGTATGACCCATTTGCCTGTCTCTGTGGACCATGAGCTCTTAGGAAGATGCTGGCCCCACTCAGTGCCAGCTGCACAGGTGGTGGGCAAGGCCAGGCCCGCGCAGCATGGAGGAAGGATGCCTAGACACTTACCACCCCAGCACAAACTGACACTCAGGAAATTCCAACATAAGAATAAGGAAATCCGGGGGCTGGGAAGGTGGCTCAGTGGTAGTGCGCTTGCCTTGCATGCATGAGGCCCTGGGTTCGATTCCTCAGCACCACATAAGCAAAAAGAAAAAAAAACCGGAAGTGGTGCTGTGGCTCAAGTGGCTCAGCCTTGAGCTGAATTGCTGAGGGACAGCGCCCACGACCTGACCCCCCCCAAAAAAAAAAAAGAATAAGGAAATCCGGGCTGGGCAGGTAGCTCAGTGGTAGAGCGCTTGCCTTCCATGCATGAGGCCCTGGGTTCCATTCCTCAGTACCATATACACAGAAAAGGCCAGAAGTGGCACTGTGGCTCAAGTGGTAGAGTGCTGGCCCTGAACAAAAGAAGCTCAGGGAGCCAGGCGCCGGTAGCTCATGCCTGTCATCCTAGCTACTCAGGAGGCTGAGATCTGAGGATCTGTGTTCAAAGCCAGCTTGGGCAGGAAAGTACGTGAGACTCTTATCTCCAATAAACCACTCAGATAACCAAAAGTGGCGCTGTGGCTCAAGTGGTGGAGCACTAGCCTTGAGCTGAAGAGCTGAGGGACAGCGCCCAGGCCCAGAGTTCAGGCTCCACGACTGACCAAAAAAAAAAAAAGCTCAGGGACAGTGCTCAGGTCCTGAATTCAAGCCCCAAGACTGGCAAAAAAAAAAAAGGAAATGACTGCCTAAACACTTCAATCCCCAGAAATTATTGGTGTAGCTAATTATAGAGCATTCAGTGAAATAAAACTTCATGACACAAGTTTGTCGCTGTGACTTCCTGTAAAACTGAAGTCATCGAACGATTGGCGATTTCCCAGAGCAGTCCTCTGGGGAGTCCTTGGACCTCTCTGGCCTCCAGACAGGACTCCAAGGTGTGGGGGGAGGGGTTGGCTCAACTCCCCGGGCCCTGGGGACCCCCAGGCCGTGATCAGCTGTGTACGCCTCTGGTTTGAGATAGGAGATTCTCATGTAAGAGACCACCCTTGCTCCCCCGCTCACCTCCTCTTGCCCACATCAAGGTGCCCAAGGAAACCGTTCATAGGGTGTTGAGAGTGGGGCAGACCCAGCAGGGCTTCACTGAGCTGCCACAGTGTTTGCAGTGCCCTGGACAGCCCAGATTTTGTTTAGCAGAGTGGCCCACGCGGGCTCAGGCTCCTGCTGAGCTGTCGGTGCTGTGAGGTGCAGAACAAATCTCATCCCTGGCTTCATGACACTCAGATCTCCCTAGAAAATGGATATGAAGAGCCCATCAAGACTATATTCTTCTTTTATTTTTCTGTCAGTCATGAGCCTGAACTCTGGGCCTAGGCGCTGTCCTTCAGCTCTTCAGCTCAAGGCTAGCGCTCTACCACTTGAGCCACAGCACCACTTCTGGCTTTTTCTGCTTATGTGGTGCTGAGGAATCAAACCCAGGGCCTCAGGCATGCAAGGCAAGTACTCTACCACTGAGTCACCTTCCCAGCCCCAAGATTATATTCTTAAACCAGGCACTGGTGGCTGACACCTGTAATCCTAGCTACTCAGGAGGTTGAGATCTGAGGATCATAGTTCAAAGCCAGCCTGGGAAGGAAAGTCCATGAGACTTTTATCTCCAATAAACCATTAGAAAACCAGAAGTGGGCTGTGGTTCAAAGTGGTGGAGCACTCATCTTGAGCTAAAAAGCTGAAGGACAGCGCCCAGGCTCAGAGCTCAAGCCCCATGACCCACAACAACCACAACAAAAGATTCTTTTCTTTTCTTTTTGTTGCGGTCGTGGGGCCTGAACTCTGGGCCTGGGCGCTGTCCCTCAGCTCAAGGCTAGCGCTCTACCACTTGAGCCACAGCGCCACTTCTGGCTTTTTTCTGCTTATGTGGTGCTGAGGAATCGAACCCAGGGCCTCATGCATGCAAGGCAAGCGCTCTACCACTGAGCCACCTTCCCAGCCCCAAAAGATTATTTTCTTAGGCAGGGTGCTGGTGCCTCAAGTCTGTAATCCTAGCTACTCAGGAGGCTGAGACGAGAGGACTGTAGTTTGAAGCCAGCCAGGGAAGGAATGTCTGTGAGACTCTTATCTCCAATGAACCACCAAAAAGCCAGTAGTGGAGCTGTGGCTCAAGTGGTAGAGTACTTGCCTCAAGTTCAAACCAGGACTGTCACACCCACATATACAAAGAAAAAATTATATTCTTGAGCTGGACACATAGTTGGTGTGGTAACCACCTAGCACCTCAAGGTCCTGGGGTCAATCCCTAGAACAACAATAGCAACAACAAAAACAGACTACATTCTTCCAGTGTGGGCAGACAAACTCATCAGACTCTGATCTCCAATTAACCAATGAGCAAAAAGCCAGAAGTGGGGATGTGGCTCAACTGGTAGAGCACCAGCCTTGAGTGAAGGAGCTCAGAGCAAGAACACAAGGCCCTGAGTTCAAGTCCCAGTACTGGCACTAAAAAAAAAAAAAGTTAAGCCAGGCATAGTGGTTTGGGTCTGCAATCATAGTTAATTGGGAGACAGATTAGGAGGATCATGGTTCCAGGCTAGCCCAAGCGGAAAAGCTCTCGAGACTCCACAGAAAAAGCTGAGCCTCGGGCAGGAGGCTCCTATCTCCTATCTCCAATAAACCACCAGAAAACCGGAAGCGGCACTGTAGCTCAAGTGGTAGAGCGCTCGCCTTGAGCTGAAGAGCTGAGGGACAGCGCCCAGGCCCAGAGTTCAAGCCCCACGACCTACAAAAAAAAAAAAAAAAAAAAGCTGGGCCTCTTCTGGATGACATGCACTTATCATCTTAGCTCCTGTGGGACATGTAAATAGGAGGACTGAGGTCTAAGCTAGTCTGAGCAAAAGGCAAGACCTCGAGCAAAAAGGAGCTAGAGGTGTGACTTAAGTGGTAGAGCACCTGGCTCACAAGCACAAAGCCCTGAGTTCATATCCCAGAATCAGAGAGGAAAAAAAAAAAGTTAATGTGACACAGAGGCACAGGTGTTAGGTGACAGAACCAGAGTGACAGTCCTGAAGTTCTCTGTAGCCCAATAGTAGCACGGGGTCTGCAGGCCCAAGGAGCAGGGGCCAGCGTTGGGGAAGGGTGCAACCCTGGTCTTGGCATCCAGTTCCAATACTGGTCAGAGGTGAGTCTCCAGACCCACTGCCAAAGGACAGCGGTGCCGTTTCCCCCCATCTCCACCAGCCGGAAGTCTGCTAGAGACACAGGAAGAAAACCTGGTCATGCTTCTGTGTGTGTGTGTGTGTGTGTGTGTGTGCGCGTGCGTGCATGCATGCATGTCAGGACTAGGGCTTGAACTCAGGGCCTGGGCACTGTCCCTCAGCACTCTACCACTGGTGAGTAACTGGAGAGAAGAGTTTCACAGACTTTCCCCCCTAGGCTGACTTCAAACTGTGATGCTCAGATCTCAGCCTCCGGAGTAGCTGGGATGACAGGTGTGAGCCACCAGTGCCAGCTCTGACCTGTGTCTCTTTTTCCCTCCTTCACCAGAAGGTATCAATATGTAGAGAAGATTGAAGAAAGGCTTCAGAAGTGGTTACGGAAGGCCGTGTTCCAGGCGTCCACCCAGGGATGGAGGACAAACCAGGCCAAGGTGGAACAAGAGACCACTGCCCTGGACACCCAGCCCGGGCCCACAGGCCGCAGCGCCGGGGTGAGCAGGAGCGCAGGGAGCAGCCCAGCACCCAGGCAGGAGCAGGACACCATGCCCAGAGCCACGGAACACACGCAGGCACCAAAAGGTCAGGACAAGGAGACTCACGGAAGAAGGGTGAGCCAGCAGGACAAGGCAGAAATGCCAGCGCTCACACGGAACATCACAGCAACAACACCGAGGAAGGAAGCTGGGATCCCAGCAGCCGCTGCCCCAGCCACCCCACCCCCGCCCCCACCCCTAAATGCCACCACCCCCAGACGCCAGATGCTGAAGGCCGCCAACTTCAAGTCTGAGCCTCGGTGGGATTTTGAGGAGGAGTACAGGTTGGACGTGGGGGGCCTGCAGACGGTGAGTTTGTGCCCCGCCTGCGGCTGCCCTTCCAAAGGCAGCCGCCTAGCAACACCAGGCCAGAGAGAGAGGAGGAGGGTCTGCCTAGAACCCTGAGCTGCACGGCACAGCGTGTGAATGGAAGGCACTAGCATTTCCCATAGCCCTTGAAAGGGTGACACTGTGGCCAGTGTGTGTGTGTGTGTGTGTGTGTGTGTGTGTGTGTGTGTGTGTGTGTGTGTGTGTGTGTGTTGCCATACCTCCACTTACAGATTTTTGGAGAGAAGAGTCTCCCAGATTCGTCTGCCCAAGCTGGCTTTGCACCGTGGTTCTCAGATCTCAGGCCTCTGATAGCTAGGATTACAGATCTGAGCCACCGGTGCCCAGCTCTACTCTGTGTCTTGACAATACACATCTTTATCCTCTGGCGGGAGAGAGCCAGGGATCCACAAAGACCCAGGAAGTACTCCATGTTCTGGAAAGTCTACTCTCAAACCTGCACTCTCCTTCCTGCCCCAAGGAAACTGCCCCACCCTCCTGCCACCTTGCCCAGAGAGGGGCAGCACTGAGACGCATCTGCACACACAGACTTGGCACTGGCCCCCACTCCCAGGGGTGCCCCTCCCTGGAGTACTGAGTGCATCGCACTGCCCATGGCCACCATGGTCCCGAGGGAGGGGCAAGCCCCAGAGCTCGGGATAATAGGGTAGAACAAGAAGCAGAGAACTGAGCACTGTGGCTTAACCTGTAATCCTACTACTCGGGAGGCTGAGATCTGAGGATCCAGGTTGGAGACCAGTCTGGGCAGGAAAATCCGCGAGACTCTTATTTCCAATTAACCAAAAACCCCAAAGTGGATCTGTGGTTCAAGTGGTAGAGAGCTAGCCTCGAGCGGAAAAAGCTCAGGAATAGTGCCCAGGCCTTGAGTTCAAGCCCCAGGACTGGCACAAAAGAAAAAAGAAAAGAAAGGAAGAGAGGAAGAGAAAGAAAAGAAAGAGAGGAAGCAAGGAAGAAAGGAGGGAAGAAAGGAGGGAGGGAGAAAGAAAGAGAAAGAGAGGAAGGAAGAAAGAAAAAAGGGAAAGGAAGAAAAGAAAGGGAAAGAAAGGAAGGAAGGACAAAGAAAGAAGAAAGAAATGAAGAAGGCAGGAGAAAGGATGAATGAAAGAGGGACAGGAATGAAAGAGAAAAAAGGAGAGAGGAAGAGAGGAAGAAGAAAGAAAAGGAAGGAAGAGGAAAGGGAAGGAAGGAGAAAAAGGAAGAGAGAAAGGAAGGGAGGGAGAGAGAGGAAGGAAGGAGAAAAAGAAAAATGGAAGGAAGGGAGGGAGAGAGGGAGGGAGGGATGGAGGGGAGGGATGGAGGGAGGGTAGGAAGGGAAGGAGGGGGAAAGGAAGAGAAAAGAAGGAAAGGAAAAGAAAAAGGAAAGGAAGGAAGGAAGGAAAGAAGGAGAAACAAATGGAAAGGAAGAAAGGAAAGAACAAGGAGGAAGGAAGGAAAGAAGGAGGGAGGGAGGGAAGGAGGAAGGAAGGAAGGGAAGGATGGATGGAGAGAGGGACAGAGGGAGGGAGGGACAGAGGGAGGGAGGGGGGAGGGAAGAGAGGGGAGGGAGGAAGGAGAGAAGGAAGGAAGGAAGGAAGGAAGGAAGGAGGCAGGGAGGCAGGGAGGCAGGGAGGCAGGGAGGGAGGGAGGCAGGGAGGCAGGGAAGGAGGGAGGCAGGGGGCAGGGAGGGAGGGAGGAAGGGAGGCAGGGAGGGAGGGAGGCAGGGGGCAGGGAGGGAGGGAGGCAGGGAGGCAGGGAGGGAGGGAGGGAGGCTGGGTTAGAACCTTCCAACCTGCAGGCCCACGGGACTCGGGCACAGAGTCCTCCCTGGGCCTCTCCCTGCCTGACCCCTCCTCTGTCTTGCTGCCCTTCAGAAGTGCCCTGACTCTTTGAAGGTCAAAGCCTCCAAGTCTGGGTGGCTGGGGAAGCTCTTCCTGCCCAGCCCCCTTCTCTTCCTGGACTCCACCCGCTTCAGCCCGAGCGAGTGGGATCGGCTGGAGCACTTTGCGCCCCCCTTCGGCTTCATGGAGCTCAATCACTCCCGTGAGTGGCTCCCCCCGGCCCAGGGGAGGGGAGGGGAGGGGGGAGCTTCTGGCCTCAGCCCCCCACCCCCGGGGGACGTGCAGGGCTGGCCTCCTGTCCCTTTCAGGGCTCTGAATGGCCCCCTTTCCCCAGTGGTGCGCAAGGTGGTCAGACGCTTTCCCCCAGTGCCCCAGCAGCAGCTGCTCCTGGCCGGCCTCCCTCCAGGCGGCCCCCGGTGCATCTCCTGCGCCGTGGTGGGCAACGGGGGCATCCTGAACAACTCCCGCAGGGGCGCGGAGATAGACGGCCATGACTACGTGTTCCGGTAAGTTGGGCCGGTGGCTGCACAGCCGGCTGCCCCCTGGGGCACCGTCTGCACCTGCGCCCGCAGGAGACACGAACATTGAGCTCCTGTCTCCACACTTTTTTCCTATTATCGCCCTAATAATACTTTCCCTTTTTGGGGGGACGGGCAGGGGCAGTTCTAGGCGCAGGAGCCCTGACCTCAGTGTTAACACTATGCTCACTTTTGGTCCTCAGCTCCACCCACACCTGGGCCCCCTCCCATTCCTGGAGTTCCGCCCTGCAGCTGGCCCCTCCCTCTCTCCACCCAGATCCACCTGGGCTCCCACCCACCTCACTGCCTGACCACCAGGCCCTCCAGCTACCTGGATGGGGACCGAGGCCATGAGCTCCCTCTAATAAACCTTATAATAATCTTTCTCCTGTGCCTGCCTGCCTCCGCGTGGTCCCCTGGGATGGATGTGTGGGATCCTCCTTCACTGGTGGCCCATACGGGATTGAACCCGCGACCGCAGTGTTATCAGTGGTATCCTTCTTCACTCAAGTCCCAGGCGCTGTCTCTGAGCTTTCTTTTGCTCCAGGCTGGTCTTCAACCATTTGAGCTGCAGCTCCACTTCTATCTCTCTTTTTTGGGGGGGGTAGTTAATTTGACATAACAATTTCCTAGACTTTCCTACTCAGGCTGGCTTTGAACTTCGATCCTCAGATCTCAGCCTCCTGAGTAGCTAGGATTCCAGGTGTGAGCCACGGTGCCCAGCTACCCGTTCACACTTTCCCTTCTGACACAGACTGAGCGGCGCTGTCCTTAAAGGCTATGAACAGGACGTGGGTACGCGGACGTCCTTCTACGGCTTCACCGCCTTCTCGCTGACCCAGTCCCTCCTCCTGCTGGGCAGGCGAGGTTTCCAGCACGTGCCCACGGGCACGGTGAGTGGAAGAAGGAGGGGGCCTGGCCACGCAGGGCCTCTGGGTCAGGACACACCCTGGGTCCGGCTGGTTGGGCAGTTGGCACAGGAACGGGGGGGGGGGGGGGGCAGACTCAGTCACAGGCAGGAAGTGGGCAGTATGGGGCAGAGGCCTGTCATCCTGGCCCTGTGACCTGGAAGTCATGCCTCCTGGGCCACATGCTGTCCTCTGTCCCCAGGATGTCCGCTACCTCCACTTCCTGGAAGGCACCCGGGACTATGAGTGGCTGGACGCGCTGCTTCTGAATGAGACTATGGAAAGAAAGAGTCTTTTCTGGTTCAGGTACCCACCCTACCCCCCTACCCTCCACCCCTCCACCCTCTACCCCTGCCTGCCAGGCCCAGCTGGATGGTGAAGGTTGGTCAGGGGTGGGCAGCCTTGGTCATCTGTCACCTGGACCTGGGGTCAGTCACACCCATGACCCTCCCTTGGCCAGGTGAGAGCAGGCAGGCTGAGTGACCCACCCCTGACCACAGGCGCAGGCCCCAGGAAGCGTTTCGTGATGCCCTGAAATTGGACAGGTACTTCCTGCTCCACCCGGACTTCCTCCGCTACATGAAGAACAGGTGAGGGAAGGAGGCGGCCCCGCCCGCCGGCCTTCATCCCTGCGGCTCCCTGCACTTAGGGATCGGGGATATTTTTACAGGTTTCTGAGATCAAAGACCTTGAACACTACCCACTGGAGGATCTACCGCCCCACCACGGGCGCCCTGCTGCTTCTCACCGCCCTTCACCTCTGTGACAAGGTGAGTGGAGGCCGCAGGAGCAAAGCCTAAGCAGACTGAGCATGGGTGGTGGCTGGCTGGGGACAGCCACTGGCAGGAAAGGGGCGTGGGCCTGGTGTGTATTCAGGGGACCCACATTTGTTCCTGAGGGAATCAGGATAAAAGGACCCCCCCCACACACACACACACAGAGGCAGCGTTGGCTCGGTAACAGCAGCCTGGAGGAGCCGGGCAGGTGGCTGACCTCACCCCATCCCCCCCACCCGCCCACCCCCCCCTCCCCCCCCCCCCCCCCCCCCCCCCCCCGCTCTGTGTAGGTCAGTGCCTACGGCTTCATCACTGAGGGCCACGAGCGCTTTTCCGATCACTACTATGACACCTCGTGGAAGCGACTGATCTTTTACATCAACCATGACTTCGGGCTGGAGAGGACCGTGTGGAAACGGCTGCATGATAAAGGCGTTATCTGGCTGTACCAGCGCCCCCAAACCACTGAGGCACAGAAGCCGGAGCCTGGGGGCAGCAGGCCTCTGACCAGCTCAGGGCGCCGGCTGCAGTGAAGTCGAGAGACTCTCCCGCCGTCTCTCCGGGCCTGGGGCAGGCCCCCAGCCCATCAGGACTTCTAAGGAGGAAATTACTTCACAGAGTTGCTGCGGGTTGTGATGGAGATTTCTAAGATGAAGGATGTTTTTTGGTCATGGGGCTTGGTCAGAGTCTGGGTGCTGTCTCTGAGTGTCTTTGCTCAAGACTGGTGCTCTACCACTTCAGCCACAGCTCCACTTCTGGCTCGTTAGTTGGAGATAAGAGTCTCATGGACTTTCCTGCCTGGTCTGGCTTTGAACCAGAATCCTCATAGCTCAGCCTCCTGAGTAGCAAGGATTACAGACGTGAGCCACCAGCATCCAGCTAGATTTTTTTTAACTAAATGGGGTGACAAGTGATCAATGCCAGAATTTACTGGAAACCTCTCGTCACTAGCAAAAAGACTGGGAAAGTGGCTCACGTGGTACAGTGCCTGCCTAGCGGGCCTGAGGCCTTAGGTTCAGGCAGTACCCCCCCCCACACACACACACATACACAAATAATAAGAAAACCCACCATGCAAACGCTACACCAGGAAAGCCCTGAACTCACAGAGACCCAGATCTGCCTCGAATGCCACATCTACTTACCAACTGTGAAATCTCAGAAACATTATATAATTTCACAACAGGGGTCCAGAGCATTCCTAACAGCTGGTCTGATTCTAGAAGGTCCTAGCCTTTTCCTGTCTCTGAGGTATTTGACAACTCTCCTTGTGGTAGAAGGCTGGTAATAGCATAATTGGTTCTTGTCCACAGAGATGTGAAGGAATTCAGTGTGAAGAAAATGTAATTATCATTTTTTCTTTTTTTCTTTTTCCAGTCCTAGGGCTTGAACTCTGGTCCTGGGCACTGTTTCTGGGCTGCTTTTGCTCAAGGCTAGCTCTCTACCACTTGAGCCACAGCGCCACTTCTGGTTTTTTCTGTGTATGTGATACTCAGGAATTGAACCCAGGGCTTCATGAATGCTAGGCAAGCGCTCTAACAGTAAGCCACATTCCCGGCCCTAAATAAAATCTTTAATGCACTCATTTTACATTTGTCTGAGAGTCATGCTCTTAGCCTTTATTTATTTATTTTTGTCAGTTGTGGAGCTTGAACTCAGGGCCTGGGGCACACTGTCTCTGAACTCTTTTGCTCAAGATTAGCACTCTACCACTTTGACCAGAGCTCCACTTCTGGTTTTCTGGTGGGTCATTGGAGATATGGGTCTCACAGGCTTTTCTGCCTGGGCTGGCTTTGAACTGCAATCCTCAGATCTCAGCCCCCTGAGTAGCTAGGATGACAGGTGTGAGCCACTGGTGCCTGGCTGATCTTAGCCTTTAGAAAATCATGCTGTGACATTGTCTGGGCTGTGGCATGGCTCTGCACTTCCTGAGGAGCTCGTGCATGACTCGGAAGAGCCTGCCAGGCAGATTTCCTTCCCCATGCTCATCTGCCCGACCCTCAGCCTGCTTTCCCACGCGAACCCCGCTCAACAGATATTTCAGTTCTTCGTTCCAGCTCTCCCCCAGGAGGTGGACTCTCCACTCCCTGAAGACCCTAAACAGAATGCGGACACCACATAGCCAAGATAGAGGTGGAGAGGAGGACAGATGCATGGGGGAGGGAGAGGGCGGGCAGGAGGGAGAAGGAGCTGGAAAGAGAAGAAGGGAAAGAGAGAGAGGAAAGAAGGGAGGAAAGGAAAGGAAAGGATGAAGGAAGGAAGGAAGGAAGGAAGGAAGGAAGGAGGGAAGGAAGGAAGGAAGGAAGGAAGGAAGGAAGGAAACTTCCCCCAGCCTGAATGCCTGGTTCCAGTAGGCTGGATCACTCCACTCAAGCAGGGTGCAGTGCCCGCTCCAGGCAGCAGGGGGCAGCAGCCCCTCTCTGGCTCTCTTGGGTGGCAGGCAATGTCCCCAGCAACCCCAGAGCACAGGGTTGACAAGGCCTATTTGGGCAGCACTGTCGGGGAAGAGACCCCCAAAGCTAATTCCATGCTGTGTGGGGATGGGGTGGGTGGGACCAGGTGGGGTGAAGTGGGGTGGGGATGTCCAGAAACCCCAAGAATGCAGCTGGTAGGCACTGAGAGGTGCAAGTGGCCTGGCCCTCTGGAGTAGACCACCGCCCCTGGGGTGCAGCCCGGGTCCAGGCCATGGTGGGAGGTTGGGCAGGGGACAGGAAGTGGCCCGTGGGGGCTAACATTGGGCCCTGCCCAAGGTCACCCCTTCCCAGTGCCCTGTGCCCAATAAGAAGCAGGAGGGCTCAGAGCCGTCCTGGGGTGATCCGACAGGAGGTGCCTGTGGCTGGACCCCAACTTCTCAGGTCTGGAGAGCAACAGAGGCTTTCTCCTCAGCCACTAGTCAGCATGGCTTTCATAGTGGCACCATATCCTGTTGGAGCCAGAGAGAAAGTCACGGCCACCGCCATCCACACACCTGCCGGAGTACACTGGGGCTACAGCTTGGCCTCACAGAGCGCCCTCTTCTCTTAAGTCCAAAGTGTGGTCTACCCACTCAGAGACATCAGCCAACAGAATCAGACAGGAGGACCTGGGGCAGGGCTCAGTGCGACAGGTCATGCAAGAACCTAGGTTCATCCCCAGCAACACAATATACAGACAGGGGCTGGGAAGGTGGCTCAGTGGTAGAGCGCTTGCCTTGCATGCCTGAGGCCCTGGGTTCGATTCACCACATAAGCAAAAAGAAAAAAGCCGGAAGTGGCACTGTGGCTCAAGTGGTAGAGTGCTAGCCTTGAGCTGAAGAGCTGAGGGACAGTGCCCAGGCCCAGAGTTCAGGCCCCACAACCGGACCCAAAAACAAAACAAAAAAACAAAACACAATATACAGTCAATCATTCCTTAATCAGAGGGACAAGAATTGGAGAACACCAAAACTGTCTTTCTGCACAGATGATATGGTCACGTATGCTAGACTATGTTATATATCACAAATGCAATGAGTGAACAATATATTAGGTTAACATATAGAAATCAGTAGACTTCATTTACACAAACAATTATCAGCTAGATGATATAATACATAGAAAACCCATCAACAAAGAAGATAAAGTACAGGGTCATAAACTTGGCAAGAAAATGTCCCAAATCCATATTAGGAAAGCATTAAAGTACCTCTGAAAGGCCGTGATGATGTGGCTCAAGTGATAAAGTGCTAGCCTTGAGCACAGAGAGGCTCAGGGACAGTGATCAGGCCCTGAGTTCAAGCTGGAGGACTGGGGGGGGGGGGGGGGGCAGGGGGGGGGGGGAAGTCAGGCACCAGTGGTAGTAGCTCACGCCTGTCATCCTAGCTACTCAGAAGGCTGAGATCTGAGGATCAGGTTTCAAAGCCAGCCCAGGCAGGAAAGTCCATGAGACTCTTATATCTAATAAACCACCAGAAAACCAGAAGTGGCACTGAGGGCTCACCTTGAGCTGAGGAGCTGAGGGACAGCGCCCAGGCCCAAAGTTCAAGCCCCACGACCGACAAAAAAAGAAAAGAAAAGAAAGAAAGAATGGAACACATCAAATATATCAGAAGCAGATCTGAAGAAGGGTGAAAATAAAGAATAAAACAGGAATCCATATTAATACAAATAAACATGAAAGGGAAAACTATTAGATGGTAATAAATAATTATGGATACAACTTTAAAAATTGGAAAATTACTACTTGACAATGATCAAACTTACAGATGCAAGCAAGAAGTAGGTAAATGTTCAGTAGAAAATAAAACAGTGATACAATCTCAATCCCTACAAAATACTAATTATTTTGTGCCCATACTGGGGTTTGAACTCAGGGCCTTGCTCTTGCTTGGAATTTTCACTCAAGAATGATACTCTGCTACTTAAAAGGCACAGCTCTACTTCTGGTTTTTTTTTTCTGGTTAATTGGAAAAAGAGTCTCACAGACTTTTCTGTCCAGGCTGGCTTTGAACCCCAATCGACAGATATCAGTCTCTTGAGGAGCTAAGATTACACTGGCACTGCGCCTACTGTGAACTTCTAAGAAGAGGTGAACCTCCAAGGAGGGCCTCAATTTCAAAATGGAGCTTGGTAGCCATTTGGTGAGTGTGTGTGTGTGTGTTGTGTGTGTGTGTGTGTAAAATACACACATACTTTGTGTTCCTGAAAGAACTGCCAAGTGAATTTTTGGGGCCTGTACTGTGCATGTTCCTGTTTCAAAAGCTTCTGGAAAGTCCCATTTTTATCACTGGGACGGGACCGGGAACTGTGATTTACAATCGACCAATCAGGACCAGGTACTTCCCAAACTGACAGTCCATTTACATAGCTGACCCTGCGGAGACCTGGGCCTGCCTGCACTCTCTCCGCGTGAACCACCCCATCTTGTTTTCTCATTTTCCTTGGATGACTGCACAGTCTTTGGAAGTCCACAATCAAGCTGCTGGCATGGAGCCAGGGCCTTCTTGCCTTGCCAGCCCATGGTGTCATCACTTACAGGAACTGCAAAAAGTTCATTTCTGAACTGGGTATGATGGCTCATACCTGTAATTCTAGCTTATTTGGGAGGCAGAGATCAGGAGGATTGTGGCTCAAGGCTAGCCTGACCATAAAACGTCAAGAGATCGCTTTATAACCAAGAAAAACTGGGTGAAGCTGCAGGTTCCTGACATCCCAGCTATGAAGGAAATATAAAATAAGTGGGCTGCAGTCCTTGGGTATGAATGTGAGGCACCATATCAAAAAATAACTAAGGAAAAAATAACAAAACAAACAAAGAGTTGTTTCCTCCAAGAAGCCCTGTCCTGAGCCCTCACCACAAACTCTTTCCAATATTTCTATGCCCTGTTAAAGACAGATAAAACAAGCCGGGCGCCGGTGGCTCACGCCTGTAATCCTAGCTACTCAGGAGGCTGAGATCTGAGAATCGCGGTTCAAAGCCAGCCCAGGCAGGAAAGACCGTGAGACTCCTATCTCCAATAAACCACTAGAAAACCGGAAGTGGCACTGTAGCTCAAGTGGTAGAGCGCTCGCCTTGAGCTGAAGAGCTGAGGGACAGCGCCCAGGCCCAGAGTTCAAGCCCCATGACCGACAAAAAAAAAAAAAGACAGATAAAACAGACCAGAGGATCAACTCAGCGGGGTGAAGGGCAAAGAAAGTCACTTGCGATATACTGAAACCTTCATATGTCTCTCAAACGCTCAGATGTTAAGCTGAGAATTCATCCACCTAAATAAAA